TATTTTGATTTGGTATTCTGATGTTTGGTTTCCGATGCAAATTGCTTGTTATTTGGTTTCGATTCGATCATCTCATTTTAAAACTTGAAACGTAAAGGCACGTTGAGTCATTAACAAAATAAAATATATACTTAACATATTTACAAAAGGAGAAAAACTTTATTTATAAGAAATTAACACAAAGAAAGAATGAAAAATGCAAACGATGATACAGTAACATCATCATTTATTGCGTAGGTCAATTTTAGATCACACTTAAAAATGTTTGTATCGATCAATTTCCACTTATATTCTCTCCAACCGCCACATTGAACATTAACTATCCTATAACCACATATGAGATGATGCTCAACTATCACCACTATGAGGGCTACTGGCGACAGCGACATGATAGTTTGCATCCGTCATTGTCAGGCATAATTTGTAATCTGTCGGTGTGTTCTAGGAGCTGACTAAATCAAGGATCATTGACAAATACTGTTTCAGGTAGGTGATTTACATTTCGGAGTTTATAGCTGATATTTGAGGCGCGTCAGTAGAGCCTAGCTGTTTTATGGGCTGGCTTGACAAAGGGACTACCATCCTCTCACAACAAGCCAGATAATCCCATTAATGCAATATGACCGAACCGTGAACCGAACAGTTTCACAGACGAGCATTTGATCAATGAAACAGTGAGGCATTTTAAACAGTTGAAAAGCAAAGATCAAAAGACTTCCACGTATTGTTATTAAGTATAATAGAACATTGTACACAAGTCTAGAAGGTCAAGCTTTGAAGAATGATGTAATACGAAACCATTGACGAATATTCATTTACTTAAATGGACTTTTAACGCCTATGTTCAATACAATATAAAGATGAAATGAAAGGAAAACAAAGAGAAATGGTACTTGGTATTTCGCAGAACGTCATCTCTTTATCAAATGAAAATTTCTCAGAAATTCTATTGGACGTAAACAACAGCATTCCAGTGCCCAGTGCACATGTATGTGTGGATGTGGTTGGGCGATCGGACCGAAGCCATTCTTAGTGTGATCCACAAGTTGGTTCTATATTTGATGGGTCGATGTATTGTCCAGTATTGTCCCAAGTCTTGGTCCGATGTGTATTCGAAATAATGTGTTTGTAAACGCACTAGTGGCATGAGAATAGTGCTATACAGGCAAAGAACTTGTTATAAATTAAATTGGATTTTCAGGAATTACGTATTGGAACGAATATTTCATACGAATTTATTGTAGCGATGGATTTCCGAAAACTACTTATTTATTTTACGTTCAAGTGTGGAGTTACTGACTGTTGAAATTAATTATTACAAATATGTATCAGAATTGTGTATCCCAGAATTAATTGCTTCAATAATTGCAGTAAGGGCTGCAGCGTTTCAGTAGTATTGTTAATTAAGTATACATGCGAAAATAATTAATATCTGATGTTGATATTTTAAATTTAAATAACAACACTTAGGCTGCGTTTCACCAACTCACAAAATAACAAACGTCAAAAGTTCTGTTAAAGTATCGGTTAGGTCAAAAATATGTTGCAATAATTGACAATTTGTTAAATGACGTCATAACTTTAACTATAACTGTAACCGCTTACTTTTCTCTAGTTAGTGTTAAAGTTAATGTTAAAGTAAGTGTCGAAAATGCAAATTGTCAAACGCGTTAAACATAATCTCTGAAACTCTGAACAACATGTCCCTGTTACAAGAGATACTCGCAGAAACCAGTTCTGAAGACGAAGGAAATGATCTTGCATGTATAAATAGAAAAAATTATATGTGCCGAGACCCAATAACGTAAAATTGAAATGATCCAATAACATATAAAATTCAAATAGTAGGGGAGGTCACGCTAGTTTCACAAACTCATTTTGCTACCACTGAAAACTTTATAAATAATAGTTCTACCCTATATTTTAAGTATAATTATGAGCAGTGAGCGTCAGCGTCAAGCGTTAAAGCCCGTGAAAGTCGCCATGTATATATATAATTCTGCTGTACGTGTATATGTCATTGAACTCCTCCTAAACGGTTTGACCGATTTAAATTATTTTTTGTGTATGCGTTTGAGTGGCGCCCTGGATGGTTTAGATTCACAAATCAGCCCGGCAGATGGCACTGCAGTCGATCTAGGTTATTTATCTATACCTATTAATATTATTATATTATATGCAGGACAACGTTTTTCGGGGTCGCTAGTATATTATAGCGTATATTATATGTATATATATACGCTATCTGTGGACAGCAAGCCTGTACTATTTATGATTGTCTGTGAAAAATTTTTCACTTGCTGTCTACAGAAATTCAAATTTAAATGAAGAACAGAGAGCTTCATTCACATAATTATATATACTCATTTTGTTTTTAAAATATTTTTTTAATTGTTTTAAATCTGTTTCTTGGTAGAAATAGCAACAACAACAAAGCTTCCAGCCACCTGATGGTAACAGCAACACCAGAGACATCACGATCATGCGTGGACGATCGTGCAAGATACTTTTTGATAGAGTTATTGTTCTCGAGGAGAAGAACTGATAATGATAGCGGAATTGTCTTTTTTTTTATAAAACGGGTGGTGGGGCAACCCACACTAGGATTTTCTCCTGTGAGGTCGGTGCGTTTACAAACATACAAGTTCACACACACATATTGTAGCTGTATAATTTATTTTAGTGCGAGAATGCATCATAACTACACTGAGTCAATATTTTTTAGTCGCTAATTTTGCTTTGAAGCTCTACAGTTACAGAGAAGATTATAAAGAAATTAAACATGTTTTTAATCGGTTGAAATACATTTATTTCTCAGAATAATAATTTACATATACATAGTTCGCTTATAACGAGATACAGAGTATAATTATGTTATAATAATTATATTGAATATGGTTATTGACAATAAAATACGACATAAATTTTATTGAAATTACAATGCAAATTATTTTAACTTGCGTTATTTAGTTTAAATTTAATTTCGTAGTGGTACAAAAAATATTTCGCATACAGTAACGTGATTAAATGTGATTAGAAGTTAGGAGTCTGGCAATTTAAGCCTTATGCCTTAAATATAGTTATGGACGTCATCCAATCATCTACGTGTAGTAGAATTTTAAAAAAGAAATATGTTCTATCCTCTTTTCTCTGTAACTTCTTTTATTTAAAGGAAATTTTATGAAATGGACAATTATTTAAGAAACAATATTAATTTACCCGAACAAGGGTAACATTTGACAGCCGCCTTTGAAATCGCTTATATGTTTTACCCGCTCATCGCAGACACAAGATGCGCTGCGCTGGCGTGGGTTCGGCATAAGGATTAACTTGTCAATAGCCCTATTATTTACCTAAACAATATGTTGATTGCAATATATATGCAACTTAATTCTTTTTAATAGGTATACGTATAATGTATATAGTATGTTTGTCATTATAATATTTGAAATAATTGATAAGTATTGTAGGTACAGCTGTGCTCCCTCAATTTAACAGTATAGGTTTTTCACGGGGTTCATGAATCTATTATTATATATAAGCATTAAGGCAAATTATATAATTATTAATTTACCTACTAACATATTAAAATCAAACTGGTATAGTGTTATAATAATTTTAACATCAATTAATTAAAGTTTTAAACGCCTAATACATTTAAGTTGAGCTCTATATTCTTCTATTGAAAACGATGTACAATTAACATTCAAATAAAATTGTTTTTTAAGTTCAATAACCTACATTATTAATTTTTTAATATAATAATTATATCTATAATAAAATGTTAAATGTGCAATTCCATTAATTGGTAATGTTAATATATTTTATATATATACATTAATATCAGGATTAATTTAATCGTTAGTCTTTAATGCATAATATATTATGTCGTAATGAGTTATAACATTGATTTATATTCTTATGTCTATAAAATTATGGCTTATCTTTAAATGCTATATATTATGAGAATATGAATGAATAGCAAAAATGTGTTTATCTATTCTCAAATTGCCTGACCTAATTGCATAATATACTGTTTAATTTTTTGGCATTGCCACGACAGATTTGTAAGAAAGGAAAAGTGTTTGTGTGATTTGCCCAGAGAACATTAGATTGTTATATTGATTATTTGTAGTCTACATGAAAGAATAAAATTGTATTACTTTTAATATATTTTGTCTAATAACATTTAAATGAGTTTATCTATAATATTATATGTATTATATCGATGAAAAGCGTAAATATTGAAGCAAAATATTTTATTAAATCTTCTACTAACTGTATTGAGGTAATAAATATCGAAATTAAAGCCCAAATTCCACTAATACTTGTAATATATGTATATACTCTTTTCTGTGGACGTCTACATGAAATTGCGTATATAATTTATATTTTAATGTACGAATATTTTATTAATTTTCTTCAATATTATTATATCATATAATTTTGTCAACAATTAATTTTTAATTTGGTCATATAAATTATTTCATGACCATTTTTAGAATTAATTAATGCATAGTTCCAATATATATTTGCAAGTTAATGTAAAAGTTATTAATAAAAGTTTAATAATACGACGGCAATTGAATATTATAGAGTTATTTACAAAGTTTCTAAATAAGAAGTATATGACACCATTAACAATTTTTTGCTATATGTAGTTTTTTGTAATAATAAACATACTTTTTCTTCAATGTTTAGTCATCCGGTAATAACATTGCATTACTAGTATAATCAACTATATTTTTATAAAAACTGATAATTAGTTCTAATGGATCACGATGAGCATATAAATATGTTTTTCGTCGTGTAGTTGTTCATATTCAGTAAAGTTTCCAAATAGAACCATCAGCTGAAGTATAGCAATCCTGGACATGATATTTTTGTTGCCTTCATCTATTTTGCTGACTTTAATCTGCTGTCGTGATCCATGGAATTAATTGTTCTTAATTGTGGTTTTGCAAGTTTCCGTTTTAAATATCTTGTGTTGTATTATTTTTGTATTTTAATAAAATACTTGTATGTAGTCGAAAAGATAGAGTTCAATCATAATTGATCTACCTAATAAATGGGTGCTTATTTACATTCGTGCTTCTTCTTGTATTTGTATTTATTATGAGTATATTGTAGTAACAATTATTTCATTATGGATTAATTTTAGGAGCGCAAGTAATTTGAGCCTCAATACAAGGAACTAAAATCTTCTAGCACGCGCTCGCAACAGAGGTGGTTAATGCCATGAACCACTATTTCCGCCATATTTATATATATGTTCTGTCTCGACCCGCAGTGGGACGTGGACAGAAAGCTATTTGCTATTGAGCGGCGAACGACACACTGCGAGCTCTTTTCGACGCATATCACTCCCTGCTAGCCTGGGCAGCGGCAGCTGGCTCGTGGAAGTGGCTTCGCACCTGGAAACAAATCGTCTGATACATAACACAATATTTATTCTGTATAAAAATCACGCAAAGCAATATTTGAAACATTTGCGGATGCTATAGCGGAGCACTTTCGCACATCAATCAGTGTCGATTGATTGTCTCAGTTACCTGCAGATGTGCTAATAGCTCCATGAAGATGTGTGTGAGGGTGGGATGGTCATAGATGTCGTTGGGCAGAGGTGGGCTGCAGCGCGTGTGCTGCGCCCGACCGCGGAACAGCCGATGCATTCGCAGAAACGTCTCGCAGAAGATGAAGCGTAGAATCAGCAACCGCAAGAAATCATCACCAAGGAATAACACGTACTCTGAAATCAGATCATATCAATAATAATACGACCCTCCGACGGGACTAACATAGGTCTCAAATATACTAAGTTACATTTAGTGCGTGACATGCAATTTCTCATTACTGGTGGTACAACATCTATAAAAAAAGTTCAACTGATGTTAATATATCTTCTACATTATCATGCTACTTTTAAAAAGAAAGAAAGTATTAAACTTTAACATGTTAAAATATTATTCCGTCAGTCGTTTATCATTTCAGATCGATTCGATCAGATTGATTATCAAAATTACTTTTTAGTTCGAAAGGCTAAGTCAGGGATTGTTGATGGGAAACCAGGAAAATTGAGGGAATCTTTCGAAAATTGTAGAGACGAATAGTGCGTCTGCAATTGAAAGACTGGTGTTGATTTCGAATCTATTATTGGAATGGAGCGCAACACATATTTTTGGTAATACACCACCTAGTGCAGTTTTACAGCATTTAGATTCATTTTACAAAAAAATACCCTTAAATGTACGAGTCGCAATAGAAAAATTACAGTTAGTACTTGGTTTGGCAGATAACAATAAGTACTTGGGTGATCAAGCTTTGCTCAGTTATTTATTTATAGTAAACGACATTATCTGAAAACGAAACCTAGCTAGATCGATTTATTGCTCCTGAAACCCCCAAAACAGAACATTTGAAGATAATGGAGTTATTTCCTAAATCATTGATACATATATACAAGAATTACTCGTTTAAAGGTATGAGACAGCAGGTGTCACTAGTTAATAGTAATAGTACTCTATTTTTCCAGGACTGCATGTATTGAGTAAGGTGTGCAAAATGCACTCTCGCTGAGTAAAGTCCCAGAGTACGACACAACATAGTTACAAGCGTTTACCACTTATTAACCAAACACAGGGCAATTATTTAGTATTCATGTAAGTTGTAATATGAGTAAGAATGAGAGGCCATTTCATGACAACACTTACCGGTACGACTGCGAGCTACCAGCGCGCCTGCTTCCTTCAAGAATGCATCAATATAGGACTGTGCTCGTTCCCAGTTCATTAACCCCATCTTCTTGATGTCGCAGCAGAGACACAGCGCTGACAGTGGGCAGTGCAGGAACAGAGTGAACAAGCTCCCCTCGACCCTCGCCTCACCAGGTACAGCTGTGAAGTTGGTTGGAGGCTGATAGACTTAATTCCATTAAGTCCACCAACCCCCGCCTACTGTGGGTAAGCTGCACCACTTTATGGCAGCTTGAAGACATTCTCGTCACTGCCCCAATGGTCTTTGTACGTATGATATGTCAAAAGCAAATCACAAAAAAGTGCCAAAGTTAATTTTTTTTTGGCTTTAATGCAGCTCACCCGGGAAGTCGAACAATGGATAGGATAGCCTAAAAAGAGTTTTATACAATGCAATGTTTTAGCTAGTCGAAATTTATCGAATACTGGAAATAGAAACGACGAGCAGATATTTAGGTATGGCATAAAAAACATACATTTAGGTAATGAGCGGTATGGATATGAAATTACATAATATAACAATGGTTATGATATGGGACATAACATAATGTATAAAAAAACAATATTATACTTAGTGTATTGAATAAACATATATGTGTATAGATAGGTACATTACAGTTCCAACCCTGGCAATAAGATGTCGTTAATTAAAATGATATGAATATACTCTTAGCTGTTTTTAGATTGAAAGAATTTAGTTTTCTTTTATTTAATACAATAATATAATTACTGTATCTGTAATTTTTCGACAATAATCTGTTAATTTTTACACAAAATTCAAACGAAGACCCTATAAGATACTTAATGAGTCTACTAGCTAAATGATGATAATAATTAGTTGCCAATCGGGGGAAATTTGATCACTACTACCAATTTGAAGCGAGGGTCAATATGTCTCACTGTGGCCTTGCCACAGGGTCAGGGAATTGCAAAGTGCAAAATTTTGAAAACATGAAGTGTATTAACTTTTCAAAATTAGTGCTGCTACTAGATGTTTAAAGTGCTCATAAAATCTTGATAACAAATTCATTGCCAATCAATTATATACAGGAAAAATTTTGAATTTTGAATTTCTTCTCGATCTTTTGATCGGTATTGCGAAAGCGAGCGTTTCCAATGAAAATTAGTATAATGTTGTTGGTCAAAATAAATGTAAGAATTTTGTACTTCAAAGCGTTTGCGTTAGCACACCCAGAATTTGAAAAAAAACCTTCGAAGTGCCTAAGTTCATGTTTTTATTTGTATTTATACATCTCACCAGAGAACTTATAAAGTGTTCATAAAATTGTACGCCCGTTTCGTGGCACGTATCAATTAAATTGTTGGAGGGAACTAAACTACTTTCAATCCACTTCTGAGGCTCAGTCTTGAGCAACATTGAATGTGAATATACTTAACGAGTATATATTAACTGAATGTACCTATCTATATAATGATTTTGTTTAGAAGATAAATGTAGTATCCAGTATGGCTATTTATTTTACATAGAATACATTTCGAAACAGTTCAATATTATGAGTAATTGAGTAATCAATTTTAATGTCCCAAACATAAAAAAATACGTATTCATCAGTTCCAAATAAACTACACATTTTTATATTATATTCACATGTCGCTTAAAATAAAAATGAAAATAAAAACGAAAATTTAGAAATAATATATGTGAGAAAGGCAACAATCGAATTATAATACAATATCGTATATAAGTATAGTGAAATTATAATAAAATGCTTCGTATAAATTATAAAAGTAAAATTAAACGAAATATAAACTCTTATTCGACGGCTAGAATTGTAAATACATAACAGTATTACACAAACTACTTACATTAAAAATACATAAAAGTAACAATGAAATGGTCTGATGCATGGGACAATAATGGCGTACATAGTATTGGCAATCCGGCTTAACAATGGCTCAAAATGGACGACAATTTGTTAATTATAGAAAAAGACAAAGAATACGTAGCGTCCATTGCATATATAGAGAAATAGCGTAGGTATATAGAGTCCATAGCAGTGTTTATCAGTATTACACAAAGCACTTATAATATAACTTATTTTACCTACCTACTGACAGTCAGGTTAGAATTTGGAAATGTTTTTTTTTCACGTAAATTTTGGTAACTCATGTAGGGCGGAATGGTTTGCAGTGAAAATATTTATCTGATTACTTTTTAACGGAGTAACTTTGACCCATTTCATTTTATAATGAACTAAGTTATCCGCGTTGTAGTAACTTGTACTGGATGAGATTTTTCTAGCTAAATGATGATAATAATTATTTGCCAATCGGGGGAAATTTTATCACTACTACCAATTTGAAGCGAGGGTCAATATGTCTCACTGTGGCCTTGCCACAGGGTCAGGGAATTGCAAAGTGCAAAATTTTGAAAACATGAAGTGTATTAACTTTTCAAAAATTGGTGCTGCTACTAGATGTTTAAAGTGCTCATAAAATCTTGATAACAAATTCATTGCCAATCAATTATATACAGGAAAAATTTTGAATTTTGAATTTCTTCTCGATCTTCTGATCGGTATTGCGGTAAGCGAGCGTTTCCAATGAAAATAAATATAATGTTCAAAATAAATGTAAAAATTTTGTACTTCAAAGCGTTTGCGTTAGCACACCAAGATGTCTTTTTTAAAATTCTACGTATTACGCGCGGTTTGAGCGTTAATGATAAGTTAACCCGTCTATTAAATATAGCGGGTACTGGCAAGAGCCATGGAGCCAGTACGATCGGATGCCAGCTGCTGACTGCTCTCATTTCTTTGTTCAGAAATTGAGATTTTGTCATAATTTACTTTACAGTCAGCCGTATGTATGTCCGATTTTCCTAATATATCAAAATTTTATAACTACATCCTGTAAATAATGTGTTAATAAACATGTTAATTTGACTGCCTCGTTGGCCGAGAGGTCGCAAGTGCGAATGCCGGTCTCGGGTTCGATTCCCAGGTCGAGCAAAGTAGTTAAAAATTTTCAGTAGAAGCACGGAGTCTGAAATTGTGCCCGATATATTGCAGGCTCATCCCATAGACTCATAACATAAATACTTAGTAAAAAATGGGTGTTACATTGTACAGTTGAATTAAGTGCCGTTTGTGTACCTCTGCCTAGCCCTTCGAGGATAAAAGACGTGATGTTATGTTATTTAACTTTGTTAATCATGTTTAAACTTTGAAAGTGAGTGAGACCTCTGAGTTAGTTCCGACATTTCTTCTCAGAGTAGTCGGTAGGAAATCATTTCAAGCTATGTTAGTATCTATTCGTAATCAAAACAATATTTCATTAATTCATTTGCAATAATTACTTTTTCGTTTTGCAAATTGAATAAAAATGGATTGATTTAAAACACAGCTCCCTATTTTACCCCTAGGTTATAAATCCTAATGGAGCCTTTTCGTTTGGGGACGACAAAAATCTGTTCGACTATTACCCTCCCGAGTACTACCTATATCTGCAATACCTATGCATCCAAGAGGCAGCCCACAGAACTGTATGAATAAAATTTGTATTCCGTAATTATGAATATGTTTGACGAATCTGGCCACTCGAAGTAATCGCAATCTTTGCTGTGAAATGATATGGGTCATAAAATCAATTAAATACAAAATTCTTCATTCATTAAGTTAAAGGTAATTGAATTGTTTTACATTTCTACCCATCGTACACGTGTTATATATTAGATTATACTTAGTCTAGGGATGATAGTACAAAATCGGGGTACAGTTTTATATTATGCTACTTAAATGTGACACTTATTTTAAGGATCTTATGGATGTAAATTATTTGGCAACGAGAGAGGCAACCTGTTAAAGTTGTAAAAGAAGTAATAGTTTTTATATACAGTTAAGATTATCTAATAGTAATACATTTGTAGTGGTGAGTATTATGAAGTATTATTAGATAACTACATAATAAAACTGCAAGACATAAATTTGCTTTGGGAATATAACTTTTAAAAATGTATTTTAATGTTTGAAATGTATAAACTAACTAATAGGTTAAGAAAAAGTATAGTTACAATTTGCTACATATTAGAATGTTATGTTTTCGTAAGAGTAAGAAGGAATCGGAAGAGTTTGTTTTTTTGTTTGTTTGTTTGTACTACAAGTCTAATTTGAATAATTCTTTTTGTGTTGGATAGCGCATTTATCAAAGATGGCTATAGGCTATAAAACATCACGCTACGACCAATAGGAGCTGAGCAGAGCGTGTGAAACCGTGAGCTAGTGCCTATATATCAGTGAAAATAGTGTGAAATAATTTACAAGAAGAAAGTGTAAAAACTAAATGGAAAGAAGTTTATTTGTTCATGTTATGATTGTAAGAAGATAGTATGTGCTGTTTGAAAATAATAATATAAACGTCTATATAGTGAGGGTCCATACAAATAACAATGCAGTGGTAGAAAAGTCACTTAGTCACTTGGTTCACTTGTATCACTTAGTTCAGTCAAAATGAGACTTTATTTTTTTAGATAATAATGTGTTTTGTCCCTATGTTAATAAAGTTAATAATAGTATAAAATTGAGTTCATGTCTCTACTATCAAAAATATACAAAATAGTGAAAAGTAAGTATAAGTACAAAATCAGGTAATACTCTCTGGTTACCTTACAATGGTAAAAAATCTTAGAGGTTGAAAATGTAAATGTTATATGAGATTTCAAATAATGATGGGTGAACTTACTTTTTACTATCCTAATTCCCTAATTTCCTATGAAACTGGCTCCTCAAGAGATTAGAGCATCAGTTAGATCTAATATAATACATGTGTACTCTATGGGTTTCAATTACCATTAAATATGAACATTTCAAAGTTAATCATCACTTGTCCTTGAAACGTAAAAGTAAACGTAATTATTTATCTTTTAGTATCAATATCTTAAAGAAAGCTATCTTTTCATAGGACTTATGAACAGCTTCATTATTTGCGAAGCTATGATAGCAAAATCATTTTGTTATCAATCATCAGAATGCAGACTGGAATGAATGAAGAAACAATATAGTCCACGAAGTAAAAACATAATTACCACAATAACCAATCCGCCCATGGAGTTTGAATGTGTTCTTTATAAACTAGCCAATTGTAGCTGGGTTTGGTCAACCGACTGCACCCTATACTTACGATAAAGACTGGAAGGTAGCTCCATCGGTGACATCAGTATAATCAGCGGCTGCCCGAAAAGACGGGGCATGTCGTTGAAAATGAAAGAATTGTCGGAATCCACGATCACGACCATAGGTCGCCGTGTGAATGGATACAGGTCACCTGGATGGAGAACCTGTAAATCTTTATACTTAGGAGGGGCTGACTTTCCCTCTTTTATCGTCGTTTCCCGTCCAAGCACGTCGATTTTGGACGTCGTGATCAGGCCTCCCACGTCGTAGCCACCTGCTGTTGGAAATACATAATGATAGGTTCACTCCGTATTTATATCATCAAGGTCACTTTGTAACTAAAGCCTACAAGAAGATTTTTGTATATTGAACACAGGTTCCTAGAAGGATGTGTTCAGTTGAACGAGACTGATGCCATTTACTATTAAAAAAATAAAATATAAAGTAAAACAATGGAAATGTGTTCTAATGGGCATTTATTTAGACCACATTTTAATTAATTAATTTCATTGACTTCGATTTATGATAGTTTTCAATTAGCAGTTATTGTGATTAGGGTATCCAGTTGTTACTGGTTCTATGTGTGGGGAACGCTAATCTTTGCTGCAATACTAATGGATTGGAAGTACATCAATTAAATTGTTTTATAATCCTTCAATTTCATTAGCAATACAGCCCATTCGAGTAGCGCTTGTTATTACTAAATCAGACAAATTGAAGCACTTTTATTTCAAAATCCTGCAATAATACATCTCTATAAAATAATAACACTTTGACTGGATTTTAGTGTTACATTGTTCTCGCACAATCCAAACAGCAAAACTATGTAACTAGTAAATTGTATTGTGAACCTGATTGAAAAAGAGTAACCTATGGAGTTTCTTGCTCGTTCTTCTCCATAGGAATCTACGCCTTGGAATGAGCAAATAGCTTCACTTAAATTTTTGTTTTTGTTGACGTTCAAAAGTGCCATTCTGGCCTAATTGAAATAAATGATTTTGACTTTTTTGACTTTTTGAATATTTAACTTTGCACTTATTGTCTTTAAAGAGTGAATTATTAACTGTTGTGTTTTTTCGTTTTAAATAGAACTTAATAATTTTACATAAACAGAATGAAATGGAGCAAAGTTTTTGTCAATCAGTAAGGGTTTTAACTTCTCAAGCATTTAACAAAATATTAGGTATACATACAGTCATAATAAACTATTTATGAAAGGATTCAGACAGACAATAATGAAACCTCTTTATTAAGGGCCTAACGAACAGGCGAATCACCTTATAAGCAATCAGCGTCACCTATGAACACATGCAAAACATGTGCGTTGGCGGCCTTTGCCAAAACCCATTCGCCTTTCATTAAAGGTTGAATCGATTCGTAAACTGCAAGCGATGTTCTAGAGGTATAGACCTTCATGCATAATATAAGTTGTTTAATATCTGTCCATATACTTAGAAGTTTCCTCGTTTGACTGAAAGCAAGAACTTGAAAACTATGATGTTTCCCGGTGTCGCGATAACTGTCATCGAGTGTATGCTGAGAAAACTTGTACTTGGGGTATTTTTAGTGTGATTCCGATCCTGAATAATATAGATTATTCAGAATTAAAACGACCGTATCTCGTGACCCGAAGACTGGTTTGTTTCTCGGTTAGAGGTTAAGCATTGTCATATAACGTGGCAATGCTGCCAGCCTTCTGGGTACTTTCCCAATTGACGTCGATGCGGAAGAATTTTTGCTGCTCTCTATAAATAGTCATTTTCAATTTTCTTTTATTTATATGTCTCCGTCAGTTTCAATGTATTTCCTTATTTTTATAAATAACAAAATTGTTATAGAGAATGATTGATGGTCACAATAGGTTGTATAATAAATCAAACAGAAAATTGTTCCTCACATGTTTGTGTTTAGTTAGTGTACGGGTCACATAAAAATACAACATTTTAAATACAATAACAAATAGTTCTATTTAGTTTTAGTGATGCAAATAGAACAATATTTTTTTAAAACATTCATGGAAATATGCACTCAAAATATGGGATATATAAATATTCAATTAAAGTCTAATCAAATCAGTGTTGTTGGAACAAACATATAAATAAAAATAATATATATATTTTCGGTTTCAGTCTCGTTCGTAGAACATATCACAATACGTTTTATTATCAAAATAAATAAATTATAATCACACTGCGGTGTGGTATGAGAAAGAGGTAAGATAGGCAATATTAACTTTCAAATATTCTCTTGTCTATAAGTAATTAAACGCAATACTTTTTCTCGTCTAGTTCAGACGAAAATCTTGCCTTGTCTTGATGAATTAGTCGTAACTGCAGACACGGTAAAATTTCGCAGCGTGGACAGAAGTAGCTTTGAGGAATTAAATTAAATTAATTTATATTGCGTTTGCAAGTCTCAAACTAGTTCCTAACTACTATTTGGAACTACACGTAAAGTATTTGCTTTAAACAGGCACTTTTAAAAGTAATGTCAATGATTCTAATATTGCGTTCTTTTAAACGTGAGGTGTAGTTAAATTACATGTTTTATCTTTTGGTATGAAGTTAAAGTAAGTAATACCAAATTTCTTGTTCTAAAAAGTTACTTAACACAGGTATGGTCAAAGGTCAAAAGTCCACTGCAAAGTAGGACTACTGCTTATACACACATGCACACGCATATTTTCATCCGTGTGCGTACGCGTGCGTGTGTTTATGCGTCCGCACGCGTTTTTATGCACATTAATATGAAATTACGAACATCAATCACGGTGGCAGTGGACTTTTGACCTTTGACTGTACATTTGTATGGGCTTCATTTATTATTGACTTACCTTCTTCACAGTGATTCTTTGACGGAGGAACGAGCAGTCCTTCCGCAGATATATATAGCAGAACCACTCCGTTACAGAGCAGGTCGTCGCAAGCACTAGCCAGGTACACAAACACCTGGTTAGGTGATGGTTTGAACAGCAAGTATTTATGGGGCCCCTCGTTTTTGTTTAGACCGCATTCTAAGTTATAGCCTAAAACAATTGTCGTATTGAGGGCTTAGGTGCCTTTAGTTTTAGTATTGTACATATAGTTAGTTATACTAATTAGTTTATAGTACACATTGGTCACTTTAATGGCGGTTAAATTAATACTTTCACCGTAAAGATAAATACGAACTGTGTACACAACTACATAGGCGTGAAACCCGTGTTTTAAAGAAATAATAAATTAATAACAAAAATCTAAATTTTTTTAATACACAATAGTTATAACCATAATTCCAGTATTCAAAATTCTGTAGCTTTACCTATGCGAGCAGATTCTGTAAAAACATTGATGTAGGACTAAATCGAAATGTACAATTATAAGTTAAATCTTTGTATTCAGTTATCGATGGAAGGAGAAAGCTAAAAATGTATAGAGAAAAAACCTGGAATCGATTATAATATATAGTGTGTGTGAATTTGGGGTACCAAATTCAATAATTGTTCTCAATTAAACCGTCACCAAGTAATTAAAAAATGGTGTCCAGTAAATATGGTCTCGCTTTGGACGATTTTTCCGTAGATTTAACAGTTTACACCGATTTTTCGATCGCTTCGTGGTATGATGGTAATCTTGGAAAATCGTGTAGTTGTGGAGGTTTGCTTGTTACTCTTGTAAATGTAGTTCCTTATCTGTATTCTCCACTTCTTTTTTGGTAACAAACACAGTAACAAAACAGTAAGCCGGGCAGCCGTTCTATACAAACTTCTGATATGCTGCAGTCTGCTGCCCGTTCGCTAATAGCCCATTTGCGGCTATATACGTGTTCATTGTTCATAAATGATTTTAATTGACTCTGCATTTTTTTGGGCATTCTCCATTAGTGAAACAAAAGTAGTTAACATAGTTAAAGGATTGTGTATAACGCTAGCATTTTTTTGTATTAAAATTAAATATGAAACCATATTTTAATTGTCCCTGTACCTGTATATCTTGATCTAAAATCGTGTTCATTAGAGACGGGTTATTTTTAGAATCATTACTCTGGATGGAAACGAAAGATCATTTAATCAAAGTTCATCGAGGTGCCTTCAACGGGATGCCTTTCTGCACGATGGAGCGCATTACTAATTGAGACCCTTGACCACTTCAAATGCTTGGATGCAATTGGCTGAATGGCTGTAACCACACTTGTGGTAGTTAATCTCAATCAGCTAGATCAACGTCTGATAACACAATTATCGTAACTTTGTTTATGATATTGTTGACTCTTTGGGCTTCGCGACAATTTGTTCCTGAGTGACTCTAACTACAATAATAACATAATTATTATGATCTTTCAAATTTTACTAATTCTTAATTCATTTCGATCATTTAAGACAAATACAATTGCAATCGCAAGCAATAGTATTTCGCAGTTCCTAAATGGGGAAGTTATATTTAGTTATAGAACTTATGTTATAACTTAAACCTAAATCTAGTCACAAGTATTTATTTACCTTTGTTGTTGAAAGCACTAGGTGTTGACGCACAACGCTGTCGTGGCGACTCATCGTACAAGTGCTGGGCCTCGCCATTCGGCTCCCGTTCAAGAGTTTGCATCATTCTGTACATGTCCATTGTCAGTTCAGAAAACTTCAGCTGAGTAGCATTACTTCCAACAATAAGTACTTCTTGAAGAATTAACGTCATCGCTGTCGTCCTCTCAATTGGTGGCGTCGTTTGAGGACTAAGTCTGAAATATTAATAATATATTTAATTCCCTGTCGAGTTCTAATCACTATTTTATTGGAGCTGACACTTTATCTTAACCAACTTACCGATGGGACAGTATTACGACGAACTCTTGAGGATGGTACACAGTCACCACTGGCTCCACTTTAATGAAGCTTCTAACTTCATCAGCAACAATCCTCCATTCATTTTGATCATCTGGCTCATAAGTGATGCCATATTCGCTTATTTGTTTGTCAAGCTCATTTAATAGGTCCCGCACTAGTTTCATTTTTTTGAGCAGAAGGCTTGCGACGATAAATCGGGCATAGTAACGAAGTTTTTTTACCATCAGTTCGCATTTGTCTTCTTTAGAGGCTTGAGTGTAGTAGCTCCTGCCTCGAATGGCGAAGTAGAAGGAGAAAGCTTCGCTCAAGTAAGCTGTATCACTTGTTCGTAAGCTAAAAAAAATAATTTCAAAGCAATGAAGTTAATAAGAGAAAACCAAAATACCATAAGTCGAAGTCGATGAAGTAGATTACAGATGAATACTCACTAGAAGTGATAGTAAAGTTGTCCTATTTTCGAAGCGATTTCACCAATTTGCCAGCGTTTTAGTCCATATTTACTATCGAGAATTCCTCTATGTTGCTGTTGGAACTTCCACAGCTTCGTGTACACATCAAACGTCTTTCCAAAATAGGAGTGCCATTGTTTGTGACCATATTGTGGCAACTCGCTGCAATAGAAATTTGACTTCAGATTAGCAATAACTAAATATCAATTAACGAAACTGCATTCATAGTTCCAAACTATGCACGTAGATTGCACTTCGTGGTTTAATAAAGACACTGAGTTTAATATTTATTGGTATTTATGAGCTAAATATCTAAAATGATTACTATAATGTTTGTTAATATTGCCAGACATTTGATAATCCTAGAGAACGTGCTATGCTACAGTACGTCAAGAAAAGGAGTTGGTAAGAAATGATAAAATTAGGATATTACCTAGTAATACCTTCTCAGTTCTAAAATACATACTTCTATAATGCTTGTTCATACCTCTAGAAACTAGTAAATTATGACTATGTTAGAAACTACGCGTAATAACTATATGATTGTATCTTTCGGATGAAGGTCATGGCACAAAATAACGGCACGGTTTGGCTTTGGAAAAGCCAACCTGAAATTGTCAGTGCGCGAACCGCGTGCTTAGTAGAGCCTTTGTGTATTGACGTTATGAAATATATCATACAACATAACATTTAATTTTCAGAAGACATGTATGGATTCTGAGCCCACCTCTCAATAGCAACGTGTAATACGCCGTTGGATACGGCTTAATGTAACAATAGTTGATAATATACTTATGGTCTATTGTTAGATTTGTTAGTATCTTCGGAGGTACAACACCCTAATGTCAGTTTAATCTGTCGTATTCTTTAAGGATATTGTACAAGATTGTTATACTATCTTTATTGATGTTCTTTCTACCTAATATTAGAACCATGTTGAATACTAGAGGAGCTTGTTACTAAATAATATCAGGCATACGAGTCGATCCCCATGATTAAGCTATGCTTATCTTTGGATAGGTAGCAATTTATTATTAAACAACCTTATTAGTTGGTACTCGCAAAAGTAGTAGAGATCTAAACAATCGCTTTAGGAATGTTCATCTCACAATTAAGTGACTTACGATCGAGTATTTCCTTAGCTCAAGAACACTTTCTTAGCAACATTATAGGTTCTATATTACGACTAAGTACGACTTTTGACCATTGTCAGAATATTAAGTTTTATTCTGTATAAGAATACCTATCCATAGAGGGGGATACTGCCCTGAGTGGTCGGTCTAACATAACCTTTTGTCCTTTAAATATTAAATGTGGATGAGCCATGCTTCGGCATGAATGGGCTGTCTCGACCAGAGTGATACCACGACTTCACAGAAAACCGACGTGAAACCACGTTTGCTTTGTGATTCGTCGTGTGAATGAGGTTACTTTCCTCTCCAATCTCTCCCATTCTCAATTCCCGGTAATACACTTGTAACGCCTCTGGTGTTTAGGCGGCGCCAATTGCTTACCATCAGGTGATCCATCAGCTCGTTCACCGGCTAAAGCCATAAAAAAAAAAAACATAAATCTGGGTTGGAGCTACTGTGTGCCTGTTACTGCGTGCCATGACTTTAACTAACACTAAATAAATGTTTGTATACTAATAAGAGAGATGCAAAGAATTTGAAAGATTCTCACAAACATTTGAGTAGGTAGATTGTAAAATAGTTTATATTGTTGCATGCTCGAAGTGGGCCACTTTGCGGGAGATGTAACAAGTGTCAGCACTCTCCCTCCTCGGTACTGTTTGTCACCATTGTCCACTGAAATCGACTAGCTTGCTATTTCGTTTTACACAATATCTTTTTAAAACTCAGTTTATTTTGTACCTTAACTATCTTAACTTTACAGTATTGTATCAACCTTTTTAGTTGTATTATGTATTCCTGATAGGATGAGATGAGGTCAAAATAGGTCGATAATGTTTGATTTAAACTTTCTTTCCTATTTGAGATATACAACTTGGGTATCTTCAAGACTCGAGTGAATAGGTTGCTCATAGGTAGGCGTGCTCCATCGTCGGCCATATCCTCGCTTACCACCAGGCGTGATGGTGGCCAAACGCCATCCTATTACGAATATAATATCTTCTGTTATTCAGGAATACTCCAGATTATTATGATTTTGAGAATTTAAACAGTTTTAGAGCTTAATCTAAATAAGTTCATAAAATTGTGCTAAATTGTTTTGATTCTCTTTTTGGTAGTTCCCTCATGAATAGAGATTGGCATCATTCTGGCATTACTCTGGATCGGTGTCTCGATCTTTTAATAGCAGTTGTGTACAAGATTCATGTACCTAACTAGCATGAAGGCAGACAGCCTACCCCTCTGACCTTAGGGTGAGGCAGATAAGAGTGGTAAATACAGTAGGTGAAGGAAGTATGAGGTGTGTTTAAATCACAACTCTATTGTTTGCCAGACTTCATGTTAGTAGATTTATGCGAAAGACTGACGATCGAAATGACTCCGGCCGTCCTGAATATGTCAGGTGTGAGTGTCATTCTTACTGACTATAGACCACCTCATTCTAAATCCTGCTTCAAGCTGGACGAAGCCCCGGTAACTCTTGCGGTTTTTCTCAACCTCGGTATATACTTACGATCAATTTTTAGCGTATTTTTGGAAGCTAAGGGGAATAATTACTATAGTTTTCTATTTAAATATGTTTAATGCAACTGTCCATCTTAATGACTCTGATATTACACTAACAGGTTGGTTTGTGACATTTTGTACGTGTACAACGTACGTACGGACCGGTCTCAGTAGGGTATGTTTAGTCCTGATGGGACATTTTTGGTTTAATTAATTACCCTTTTACTATACTCGTCAAACGTAAATAAGAATTAGCTCTGGTTGACTATAAACAGTCATAAAGCGTTAGGCTGCCTGTCCATTGACGCGGAGAGGGGCAGCGGAGCGGAGCTAGCGAGTATAGCGGAGCGGAGTTACGGACTGTGTCTGTCCATTGAGGCAGAGCGAGGCAGCGGTGCGGAGCCCACGAGTATTGCTGAGCGGAGTAAAGGACTGTCAAACTTCAGCGGTATACTATACTATCCCAATAATCCATAGCCCCCGCAACGCTCCCGAGACCACTTTCCCGCCGCCGGCTCATTCGGCTGCCTCGCTCCGCCGTCTCGCACCGCTACCTCGCACCGCTACCACGTGCCGCTTCCGAAAATGTATGAATTTTTAAACTAGCTCGCAAATCCCTTTCCACTAAAGCGGAGCAGAGATATTATTTATGTTACTATTTCTTTGTTTCTCCGCTGCGCTGCCTCTCTCCGCGCCAATGGACAGGCAGCCTTGAGGCCCTAATTATACAAAAGAGAACTTCACACAATACTTACTTACGACAATTGTCACCTAAAGTTCACTTTTGCTCCCTTAAAAATCTGCGGCATGCGGTATGCGGTTTTCTAACTTTTTATTAGACATTTTCTCTCTAGCTCTTGTTTTCGACCTCACCTAAGAAGACATCCTAACAGGAATACTTGTTGTTATCTACCAGTAGCCTTATATAAAATCATGATGAAAAACTGCTCCGTTAGTAAAACTGTTCTCATAGCACGAGGTCTAGGACTAAGTCCGGTGTATGGCAATAGGCTCACAGATTTAGTAATATAAGGAGACCGATCAAATCGCTTAATATAAAGTCTGAGAGTCGCAAAGCCATTTAGTGTACTCTCACACATAGTATTTGCTAAAATTAATTATTGGTCACTATTTGCATTGCGAGTCATATAGACGCAGACGCATGGTTAGGTGTTTGCAGTTGTGTGTGTTATGTCGCACAGCGCGTACGCGAGCAGCGGCCATATTGCATACGCTTATTGTTATGAGCTTAATATATTAACATTATCCATTGCATAGGTAGTCAAGATTGAATTTTTTTTGCATTTTTTTTTAATTGAAGAAGCACAGCCGCAATGCATTACAACAATAGGAATATTTCTTCAACCTTCTTATACCGGTTTGGTCATCTCCTTATATTATTAAGTCTATGATTCTCATCTATTACAAGGGATTACAGGACGAATAGCACGACTGGTTAACTTTGACAATGCGCAAGCGCATCTCTGCTTTGTTTTTCAGAGATTTAACATTGTGATTTTAAATTAAGATGTAGCTAAGTTTCTTTGTCATTTCTGAAGAATTTTGAAGTACTTTATGATGGAGTAAATTGTGAATTGGTCGATTTTTGTATTTCACTCACCGTAAACCATTGAATAGTTGTTTAGATTTTTCCAGTAGATGGCAAAATTCTATAATGATTTTACGTTCATGATCCTCTAAAGGATTCATCCTGCCCATGCGAATGTGTCTGCGGTTCCTTGATGATTGAATTTCGGCGGTTGTAGGAAGCGCTGGGGGTGACAGAACTAGCCTTCCGTTGAGGGGCTTGAATGTTCATCAAAACAGTACCCAAAGTATTGGAGAAAACCTCGCCTTGAATATATCTTTAGCAGGCCTGTGATTGTACTCCTGGTAATAGAAAAAATAAAACGTGACAAATTAACAAAAAAAATAGCTTTTATTTGGCGAATAGGTAGGGAATAGGGTTTTAAGAGGTTTTCTTTATTTTATTCGTATTTCGAGCTACAAAGTTCGCAAATGGTGACGCTGAGCAACAATTTTGTTACATTTGGGTTTAGAATAGCTGGCGAAAGGTTTTTAGTTCTAAGTGGTCTTAGTGTCACTAATAAAACATAATGCGAGTATTTATTATTTGTTTAATTTACAACATTCATAATCATTTTACAGATACTTATAATTAACTTAAAATAATTGTAATTGGTAATATAATGTTTACACTACAATTGATACTTAATAAGATTCAAAACGCATTTATGCGCTGGCTAATTATTATTATTACTATAAAATAGTTAGGAAGCAAGTACCTAATTTATAATTATAATAAATTAATCAAGAGGCCGAGACCTGTTGAGTCCATTTGTTTAAAAGCTCTTCGAATAGTTCCACCATTCAATGCAATACGTAAAACCTTGTTTTACATTACACTAGTCAATCTTTTGATCTCAAGATAAAAAGAATAGGAACTTCAGCTACTTTATACAACACAAATATATTTGAAATAAGCAAATATTATTATATATTTTTACTCAATTGTGCTAACTACTTTTTTTATTACACTGACATGATGACTGACGATTATTACATTAAATCTCTTAACACATAATTAGATCTACTTGAACATAAAATTGCACTAACTTTGATCTATTGACGCAGCCCGCGAGGTACAGTTCTCCTCTACAATGTGGATGGCACACATTGCACCCCTTCTTTTGAACATTTTGCGGCCATCCTGATGTGCCTCATAGGGCATCACCAACACTTCGATTTTTTCATCTTGCGTGTGTGGCAAGTTGTATACGAATTGTTCTAATCCAGGTGGTAGGGATGAGTCATGTGAAAATTCTTCTACTGGGGTCGGAGGTGGGGCAGTACATTGTTCTGAGGCCCAATGTGGCTCTTCATCGATAACATTTAAAGTGTCGAGTTCTATTGGTTCTGGGGCACTTGTAGAATTTTTGCTGCACCAGGAAGGGCACCACGATGGGCTCCACGGTGGGCACAAGCAGCAGCTTTCTACTGAAGTGCTGTCGGAAATTATGTCCTGGACAGGACGTGATGTACCGCCGACATCGACTCTACTCTCTCTAATCTCCTGTCTACTTTGCTGTGACCACGACGAAGATAATGGCAGAGTAGCAGCGGGTAGGAGGTCTTCTTCGGCTGTAAAATAATGCGGTCGAACTAACTAAATACAAGTATTTCCTAATTTAAATTAACAATTAATTTATGAAGTTTTAATACGTCTTTTTAACTTTACTTGTGATGATGTATGATTTTGAACTCTGAATATAATTGATGAATAGTTGGTTTTACATACCTATGGAATAGAGTTGGTGTTACTTAATTTTAATGTGTGTTTGTTTTTTAACTGTGACTTGAGACTAAAGGGTCATCTTGAAGTAGACCTGAGATAGTATTTACTTAGTCGCTGTCTCGTTAGACAAGAGGACTGTGTTATGTTTTTCGTAAACCTTTCTATTAAACTATCTCGTTGACTACTGACTGTCTAATTTTGAATTGATTAGTTTCTCTAAAATCTTTGTCACCAACAGCCCGTGGGAGTCCATGTTAGACTATGTGCCACCTTTTGGTTGGAGATCGAGGTTTAAAAGTATGGTGAAATAATGTAGTAGGTAATATGGTCACGATACCCACAAGAATAGTAGAGGTACAGATGTAATCTCCTCTGTAGTCACCACACGGCTTATCTTAATACTACTAGTTGTAATATTTAATAATTCCAATATTTAAAAACAGTACTTATGATGTACCACTCATTTCGGGCTGTGGGAAACAATAATTGGTCTCTGGCTTAGATTTTTTTTATTTGGCACAGAGATTGGTGTCTTAAATGCTGGACTTTGTATAACAGATTGTATTCCTGCATTGAACAATATCTCGTGTAATCTGCAAGTAAGTATTTTGGGATATGCACGAAATTTTCATGAGTTTGTAATAGTTCGTATACCCTTTAAAAAATTGTTGTAAAGTTTAAAAGAAACAATATAACACTAACTATTCACCATTTATGTTATGAGTCTCATGTAAATCATGAACTGTTCCTTTGAATATTAAATAATAATAAATGTAACAGTACTTTAACCTGAGAATCGAACCCGAGGCTTCTCGATGGATCGTCACGCTTGCGACTAATCGACCCATAAGGAATCATTTTGAAAATTAAATTATGAAGTTTGAATCACTGATACATGATTGAATTTAAAAATTTTATTGATAAATTAAGTAACTTACTGCCGGACATACAGGCAACCATAAGTTGCCCTATGATGCCAAACCTAAAACAAATACAACAACAATATTAATATTGCACATATTATTAATTAATATAAAATTATATGTCGCATCAAAATTATAAAAAGAATACTTACGGATCAACGACGTCCATACCGCCATCGGATGAAGGGTCGTACATTTTGCTTAGATTACTTAATACATAATAACTACACGAAATAAGTTAGTTTTAGAAAGTTTTTTGTTAATTTATTTCAGTGTCACTTGTAGGAAAAGTTCAAAAAATTATCTTCATCACTTGAAGTAACTTTATGACTTTGAATTTTAGAGTTGAAATATTTTATACACTTAGAGATTTCAAGTCGCGGATGAGGGTTGACTGTTAGTCCACGAGTGAGCTCCGTGGAGGTCCAACACGAACTGACGACTGGGCAGCTGCCGCTACAGATGCAGCACTTTAATTCCTGTATTTAAAGGATAATTCTATTTACATCCGCCCAATGCATTCTCTCTATTGGAGCCCGCCTTTCTGCTGGCCCCGCCTACCGTACATACAACCATTACTATTTTATTTAAGGTTCGGTTACACTTGCCACCTATTTATTACTTATTTCAGATCTTTTCAATATGATTTAAATCTACAAGTAATTCTTTTAAAAACCTTCCGATTTCAATTGCTTTGGGCGTAGTTCGTGTCCAAAACTGCTATGTTGTCTAGGTGCTAAGTTTTTTTAACTAGATGTATGTTATTTTTTATTTATTTTCATTAAAATGTGCATTTGCATTTGCAGTGTTTTTTATAATTGTATATTAACAATGTTGCGAATTTAAAGTCGAGTTTCTTGCAATGTTTAAGCAACCTAAGCTTCCGTGCTTGTATGAGCCTCTGTATGAATGTGGTATAAGTTTAGGAAGTATATAGGGGTCGTACTCTATGTTGCGCTCTATGGATTCTTCATATCCCCAATAAAAAAGAACAAAAACTAATAAAAATAATCAAAAACAATAATCATACGAATCTTAAAAGTATCTAATAATTATTATTTCATTTACAATACTACCTACTTTATACTATAAAGGAAATCAAATCTAACTAGAATGTAATGTGATAAGTAAAATTTATTTTGTCTTAGAAATATAATAAAGATAAATGAAACATTAGAAATGATATTAAAATATTACTTACCGTTGTATAGTAATAATATTTTTCGAAGATTCCACACATTTTATGATAATGACGATGATGAGTTGAAATCGTTGAAAACTCGTGTTAAGGCGGTTGCAGCCAAATAGGATTTTGCGGAATTTTCCGCGAAATCTTGAATTACCTACATTTGTCAGATACGCTGTATTATGCAATGATAGTTCTGCGGATTTGCTATATTCCCGACGATACATAAAAGTCTTTCTAAATAATATAATACTATGTAAGCATTGTTTGTCTAATGACAAAATTTTCAATTATTAATCTGCAACCTTCGAGAAGGAACACCCCTATGTTTTGTTGTGTTTATTGAAATTAAAACGCACCATCATTTTAGGGAGCATTCTTCCCCAAAAAACGATGGTGCACTTCAGCAGGTTACTATGCAGTCCGCGATGTGAGTACCTTTGGTGTTATCAGCTATTTGGCTAAGGTATCCATTTAACATCGACTATAAGCTTTATTGCTTCCCATGATAAATAGTATTTGTTAATAATAGTAGTAGTAAGAAAATATTTGAGTTCAATATAATTGTTAATGTTATGTGTTACTTTGTCAAAAATATTATATAGGACTTTTTTGGAAACATAATGTTAAAAAAGTTAATAAAACATAAAATCCATTTCAATCTCAACAGACTTTTGCGTCATACTAATTCGCACAACACGTAAGTATACATATATTTTATATTTTTTTTAACTTTACATTTTTATCACCAACGTTGATAATAAACGGATAAAACGAACTTATTTCTTAACAGATAGAGTTGCATATTGCATAACCACGACCACCAGCACGTACCATCACGAATGACGTTTGAAAAAAAAATGGACACAACCTCTTGACTGTGCCACCTGGCGACTATAGAGCTACACGGAAAACATACACACATTGATACGAAGGAAATGTGTCACTTTCTTATATCAGGTATCGTGGTACCACACGCACACATAAAAACCACTGACATTTTAGTGCTTCAACCATTTGGAAGTGACATTATCCGCCTTATTTTCAACGTCATTGGGTGCAAGTTTGCATTTGCTTAATGACAAATGACTATGTACATTTATTCATGAAAACATAATTCATGACCCATTTTGACTACAACTCATTTCGAATCTAATATTTTTAAGCATGAATTTTTATATTCGAATCTAATTTAACGTCATAGACCGAACTTTTCCAATTATAAAATGACGGAGTCTAAAAAAGTTTATCATATTTTAAATTCATACTTTTTTGAACTAACTATAAGTGTGGGAAAAATGCGTTTATTTTCCCATTCATGTTTATGAACTCTTTCGAATATTCTGAATAATAATTTCGATGAAAACAAGCAACAAAATTATGGGTGTTTGTAGAAGGAAATTACCTCTATGTAATGTAATACGTGTAGTATGACAATACAAATTCGTTACCATGGAAACATATTGTGTTTACGAGAATGGTATCCTAATTATATTTGAATGTTTGTAAGCAGACAAGCTATTGATAGGTTAGTCTTCAAATTGGTTGATTGTACGTAAATATTTCGTGGTATTATTTAGTATTATACCTTATGATTATTTTTATAGTAAATCAATTGAGTATTCAATAGATAAAATTATTATTTAACACCCGTTGAGATCATTGAATAGAATTATGGGATGAATGTAAAATATCTGTTGTAACGAGATATTAGTGTAAATAATTTAAGTACAATGAAATATAAAAACTTTTTTACATACCACAATTTATAGTTTATTTGAGTAAAGTAATATAAGGAGATTTGAAGAATTATTTCGGTTATCAAAAAAAATAAAAAATATTTTTTAAGTCAACATGTAACCTAGCCTTTATGTAACAAGTATATAGGAGGAAATGTAACAAGGAGATCTTGCTATCTCTCTCTCTTGGTACCGCCCGTTTGACCTCCTCCCTATAATTCCCCCCAACCCCCGATGCAAGTGAACACATGTATATAATGTACTTATATATATATGTATTGGTTAACTATTTATAGAATATACCAAAAATGGTAGAATTTGGTAACCAGATACTATTCTATTTTTGTGTTTTCTATGTATTTGGTAATTAATACATAATAGTTATCGCTACATTAAGATCTTGTGGAGGCGGCCTGACGTCAGAGTCTGATGGGCAGTTAATGTTAACGAAAATTTTCCGATATTACTTTGATATATTACATATTTCATTTCTTTTCTGTATGTACTATACTATTAATGGTGTACAATAAAGTTATATTCTATTCTATATTTTTTAAAATTGACATTTAATAGAAAACTTGTTGGCCGAGTGGTCGCAAGTGCGTCTGCCGGGCAAGGGGTCTCGGGTTCGATTCCCGGGTCGGGCAAAGTATTACTGGGTTTTTATAAATTCTCAGTAGTAGCACGGAGTCTGAAATTGTGCCCGGTAAATGGCAATAGGCGTGAGCCTATTGAGGGGGTGACCCCTATTACATGGGACTCGTAAAATAAATAGTGAAAAGTGGGTGTTACATTGTACAGTGGCATAATATACACCTCTACCTACTACTACCCTTCGGTGATAAAAGGCGTAGTAATGTTATTTAGGAAAAAATAAAATAAAAAGCACATCAAACTTTTGTTAAATACTTGTTCATTAACAAAATTTTGAAGGTTTGAAGCAGATTTGGGAACCCTATAAAAATTGCGTCAAAAAAAATTAGGAGAAAGATAGAAAGAAAGAAAGAAAAACCATTTATTATGCTACGACACACAACAAGAGTTTAGGAACACACAAAAAAGCCTATGGCGCGTCGCAGGGCAAAAGGCTGGAGCTCTGGAGACAGGTGCATAGCTGAGGGCCTGTTTTACGAGTCACCAAATTCAAAATTATATATTCCAATTATCAAGGACGGTTATAGGCTATAAAACATCACGTTACGATTAACAGGAACCCAGCAAAGCGGGTAAAGTCGCGCGATAGTAGCTAGTCCTACATAATAATAATAAATGCGAAAATTTGTGAGGATGTGTGCGTGTGTCTATATGTTACTCTTTCACGCAAAAACTATTGATAGAGTTTAGATGAAATTTAGAAGAGGGATAGAGTTTGGTATGAAATAACACATTGGCCACTTTTCATTTCACGGAAACGCGGGGGAGGTCGCTGACAGAAGTAAGTGTTATATAAAAGTCAGTCCACTGTTGGGCTAAAAACATAAGAGACATAACATCATAATAACATAACACCACGCCTTTTATCCCCGAGGGGGTAGGCAGATGTGTACATTATGCCATTGTAGAGGTATAATGTAACACCCACTTTTCACTATTTATATTATTAGGCCCATGTAATAGGGGGTAAGCCTTTTGTCATAATTATACCGGGAACAACTCCAGACTCCGTGCTACTACTGTGATTTTTTTGAAAAACCCAGTAATACTTTGTTCGACCCGGAATCGAACTAGAGAACCCTTGCCCGGCAGTCGCACTTGCGACCACTCGGCCAATAAGGCAGTCAAAGAAAAACATAAGAGTTTTTCACAATCTGCTATTTTGGCAGGAGGGTGGGGGTTCGCTGGCTATTGTCCATTCCTTAACAAAGATGTACCCTCAGTTGCTTCGATACCCTAAATAAAAGAAAGAAGGACGACACATGTATTTTTTCATCGGTGCCTCCACCACATAATTATGACTAATAAAAAAAAATATTTAGAAAAAAAACGGAGGTTATAATATTTCAATCTAAATTGCTGACCTCTAAAATCTTAACTTCAACTTTAGTTCGGAAGCATATTCTACTTCAGAGCTGCTATCTATTGTAGTACAGATTTACATTATCTAAATTTGAATGCAACTATACTGCATTTAATCGTACGTAACACTCATTATAGTGGCATCTATATCCATAATTACAGTTCGTATAAAACGACTGGCATTTAGGCTACATTGGAAAACATTACAGTTTGTGTTACAATCGATCACACTGCATGTCTGAGTGAAATATGGCG